GACATTATGTTGTGCATTACTGATTCACATCTCACTACCAGTGTTTATTACAAACCTACAGACGCCCATACGTTTTTGAACTTTAAATCATCCCACCCACCTTCATGTAAGAACGCTATTCCATATTCGCAACTAGTACGACTGAGGAGATTATGTAATGACGACACTGATATTTTTTTTTTTTTTACAAAAGCCGAAGAAATGATGGAATTTTTCAATGACAGAGGATATCCCACCACAGTAACTGATAGATCAGGCCCGTAGCCAGGTCATTTCAAGGTGGGGTTCTCTGGGCGTGGGGTCCAGGATACTGAATAAGGGCCCTGGTGGGGTCGGGGGAGAAGCCCCCGAAGCCAGAGCAGTTTTTGTGTTTAATGGGTCTATATAATGTTATAAAAGCAGTTATGTTTTTAAAAAAGATCTATGTAATAAAAGGTGGTAATATAATAAATTGGAAAATATTTTCTGAGAATTGCCATGTTTTAATCACACCGAAAGACAAAAAAAAAAAAAACTCATCGCATAATCAATATCATTACACAACAATTTATTATTATAAAACAAAACAAGCTATTATATAGGCCTATGAAGTAATTTACAAAGATTTACTACAACTGACAGGGTCATCGTTAAATTAAGTCAGAGCCCAAAATATAGCATTATATTGAAAACGTCATCTGACATCATGGGAACCTAAACTTTAATTACAATTATTTGTTTACTAGGCCTAATTCGAAATTATTGTTTTTAAGACTTTAACCTAATACAAACTGATCTATACATTTACATTTCAATGTACATTTCAGAATTAATAATCGTTTTTAGTATCTTACTGAATATTTATTGTCTACCAAATGAAATATGAATTATATATGAATCTTTATAAATACAATTTCTACAATATTAATCTTGTTTTTATATAGATAAATGTTCGATAAATACTGTCTTTCATAAAACAAACGAAATTCAGCGCGTCTATTTTCATTCCAATCATGATGACCAAGCATATGAATGAATCAGTCTAAAATGATATTCAAAGATATTATACTGTACAGCTAACCGCTAATGTTTGTTTTGCATGTCTATTACAAACCGTTACTCACAATGTATGTAAAAATTGGTCGTAAAATTTGATAACAAGTTGACCATTAAAATCTATTGTAAATATTTATTTAAATCCGTACACCGATTTTGTTTCAAGTTTTTTGTTTTCAATATTATAGCTGTTTCTTTACGATGACAATGTTTTGAAATCGTACACTCCAAAATTTGTTTTATGGGCAAACAACAGAAGGCTCTAAATTTTTACAAGTTGACCAAGCGTGTTGCTGCATCATTATTTTTCAGTTACGATCACTATTCAGGCAGACAGCAGCGGTTTCGTTACCGGTTGGTACATTTCTTACAAACATTCAGCCAAAGGCCAGTGAAAGTTTTATCGATGTTTGCCATGATCCTTATGTGAGCTATCGTAAAGTCATGGTTTGCCGGAGTTGCGTTCAATTTAAATCTCCGAACTTCTGAAGCTGATATATTCTATGAATGTAGGCTTGTATCTTAGGCTACAATTTAAAAACGGGTGACCAAATAATGAATTAGGTGCTAAATTTTGATTTAATACAGGGTAAGTTAAAAAAGGACATTCCGTCCGAGTGGGACTCATTCAAAAATTCGAGGGGGTTCGCTAGAAAACAGGGGGGTTCGCTAGAAAAGGGGGGTTCGCCCGAACCATAAAAACCCCCCCTGGCTACGGGCCTGTAGATCGATTGAAAGAATCAACCAACTAACCCAGACGGATGCTTTAACTCCCCGTGAACGCAACAATTTGGACAGAACACCGTTGGTACTTACATATCATCCTATCAACAGAGAAATTGCTAAGATCAT